CGAGAAGTTCTACCTGTCGTGGACAAGTGGGTACCAGCCATGAAGGCTGAACTCAATTCGCTGGAGCAGATGCCAGCGATCAAGAAGTACCGTGGCACCGAGGCCGCGGCGCTGAGAAGGGATCCAAATGTGGTCATTGTTCCCAGCAAGCTGGTGTTCACAGTCAAATTCAGCGGGACGCCGGGAGCATTTCGCCGCAAAGTTCGCGGCGTGGCCTGCGGAAACTTCTCGGGGCAGACTGCTGAAAAACTGGGCGACATCTATTCGGCCGGGGCAACGATAGACCTGGTGAGACTGTGTCTGGCGGAGAAGAATGCCCACCGGGACTGGATCGCCGTGACCGACGACATCAAGACAGCCTTTCTCAGAGCTCCGATCCCGGAGATGCCACAGCTCGGCCACCGGAGTTCGTTCATGGCTTCCATGATTGGTTGGAATCTACATGGGAGACCAGTGGCCGGGAGGAGGTGACGAAGGACTCAGTTGTTCGGTTTTTGGGCCTGGGGCTTTCTGTCGAGCCAGATGGGAGGATGAAGATTGCGCGGCGGGGCTATGTGGATGAGTTGTTGCGACGGAGAGAAGTCACAGCCTTCAGCCAGGTGCCGTTCCTGAAGGAGTGGGCTGCGGAAGACATCCCGGAGGACGCCGACAAGAGCCCAGCGTTGATCAAGGAGGCCCAGCAACGGTGCGGGGAGATTCTTTGGACGACCCAAAGAACAAGGCCAGACGCAAGCTACCCGGCTGTGATGATGGCGAGGCTGACTACAAGGTGGCCGCCAAGAAGATCCTCTCCTACTACAACGCCACTCGAGATGCGGGCTTCATCGTCGAAAAGGACCAACCGGGCACGCTGGTGGTGTTCAATGATGCTTCTCATTCCCCAGCTGGGTCAAAGTCTATCTCAGGGACTCTGGTGATGTGGAGAGGAGTCCCGATTTGTTGGCGGGCGGCCAACCGGGGACTGACAGCCCTGAGTAGCGCCGAGGCCGAGCTCATTGCATTGAGCGAAGGGGCCCAGCTCGTGAGGTCCGTGAGGACAACACTTGTCGACATGGGCATTGTGCCGGAGGTGACGGAGCTACGGGTTGATGCGACGGCTGCTATTGCTGTGGCAAGCTCGGGCGGGAGCTGGGGAACACGTCATCTACGCCTTCGTGAGAACTGGTTGTTGAGTTGGTGGACTCTGACGAGTACCAGCTGAAGCACCAGCCGGGAGTTGATCAGTTGGCGGACGGGCTCACCAAGCAGCTTAGCTCAGAGCGGTCATGGAAGCTCTTGGAAGCTTGGGGTTTCTTCAAGGGGACGGTGACTGTGGAGATCAAGGTGCTCAAGTTTACTGATGATGACGGCAGTACTGCAGCAGCCACACAAGCCAGCACAACAGCAACTACACAATTCAGCACCACAGCAGCCACACAAGCCAACGCAGCAGTAGCCACTCAGCCCAACGCAGGAATCACAGCATCAATGCTGAATGAAGGGACCCTGAGTAGGTGTACCAAGGTGTTAATTGGTTTAGGGTTGTTGGCTGGCGTGACGGGCGAGGAAGTGAGCGACAACCAGGCCTATACCGGGGTGAGTTCCGAATATGAGCTGTGGATCGCTGTTCTGTTGGTGATGATTACCACTATCTTCGTCTGGGAGTGGAGCAAGCGAGCTGCCGGTGGTGTGAAGAAGGCTGTGAAACTGAGGATGTTATCTGCAAAGCCAAAGCCGAGACTGTCAAAGGGGGAAGGGAAGGAGATGCTGGCCCTGCTGGGAATCGATGACAGATCGATCGAACAGGAGGCCAGACTGTCTGCCCTTATTGCTAAGTTTCAGGCTGCGGAGACAACCTCATCGCGTGGGGTTGAAGACCAAGGGTCTTCAACGTCAGGCGAGGTTGGTCGTGGAAGGACGCCTACTACATTGACGCCTACCTCTTCAAGGCCTTCGGGACAGAGCAGGGAGAGGTTCCAACCGGAGAAGTGGAGCCGAGCAGTTCAGACGGATCCTGAGATCCCGCCCGACGTCGCGCCGAGAAGCATTCGTCCTTCGGCTGTTGATGCGAGGATCAGGTACATTTTGCAGCCGTGGGAAGGAGATATGTATGTCAGCCCCAATGGGGACCGTGTACACCTGAAGCCAGACTGCCATGGACTGCGTAACGCTTCTCGGGCTTTGAGGAGGCCGGTATGCCAATACTGCTTGAATGACTGGCGAAACCACCCAGATAATCTGGGCGATCGGTGAGCTGGAATGGACTCAGGCAGTCGAAGGAATGATTGCCTCCTTTCGGAGGCATCAAGGAGGGGTGCTGATGCCTGAAGCCCCTTCCCTGTAAAGCCGTAATCAGGTGGAGCTTGATTTGTCAGGACCTTGCTTCTCGAAGCGGAGTGTCTCAGAGAGCCATGATCGGCAGAAGCCAGCACGCAAGGGCTTAGGTCCATGAGTGGCAGAAGCCAGCACGCAGGGCTCAGGCCATGATCGGCAGAAGCCAGCAATGCAGTAGCGTTCGTTGCTTTTCCTAGGCTATGCACAGATGCGTCTAGGACTGCATGCACCTTTTGTTGTGAACCGGAAAACAGAGGGTAGTGTCCGCGCTCATGGTTGTGGGATTCCCTTCAGAATCGTCCGATAAACTTGGAACGATACTGTTGCGGAGGCGCCGTATGTCGGGTTCAGCAGAAGGGCAGGACAGTGCAGCTCTTCAACTACTACTACTACTACTACTACTACTACTACTACTACTACCACTACTACTACTACTACTACTACTACTACTACTACCACTGCCACCACTACCACTACTACTACTACTACTACTACTACTACTACTACTACTACAACTACTACTACTACTACTCCTGCTGTTGCTACTACTACTACTACTACTACTACTACTACTACTACTACTACTACTACTACTACTACTACTGCTACTACTGCTACTACTGCTACTACTGCTACTGCTGCTACTGCTACTACAACAACAACTACTACTCCTACTCCTACTCCTACTGCGACCGCTACTGCTACTGCTACTGCTACCGCTACTGCTACTGCTACTGCTACTGCTACTGCTACTGCTGCTGCTGCTGCTGCTACTGCTACTACTACTACTACTACTACTACTACTACTACTACTACTACTACTACTACTACTACTACTACTAGTACTACTACTACTACTACTACTACTACTACTACTACTACTACTACTACTACTACTACTACTACTGCTACTACTGCCGGGCATGGGTCCCACAGGGGAGCCACTCTTTAAGAGCGATAGGAATGCGTGTTGCTTGTTGCAAGTGTGGAAAATGCTGGCCAGGGCGTAGGACATATGTGACCATTTATGGGCGCTGGCGACTCTAGTTGGAGGAGGCTAAGGGTCTAGCCCCAGCGCCCTCGGGGCGACCCGCCGACCTGGCGGACTAGCGGTGTGGTTCCATCGGATCGACACTTGACCGAGGTCGGCGATGACCATCCATTGCCGATGCACAACGAGTGCAGTCTGATCCGGCTGAATTGCACTATGGACCAACAATTTGTGAGATTGAGCGCTTCCCCGTGTTCGCTTCTTCTCAAGCCGACGGGTCGCCGACGTTCTATGGCCCTGGGCCACTGCGGGTTTGATTGGTCCGACAATTGATCAGGCTCCGTCGCAACAACGAGAGTGAAATTGAGGAAGGGAATGGACTCCTCGCAACGGCCGTCGCCGCCCCGTTGAGAATGAGGACGACGACGTGGCGACGTGAGCGAGTGGAACCAGGGGCCAGGCCCAGTGCAACAGTCATGTCGCTGGAACCAGCGACGGTTCTCCAGGTCTCCATGCATGCCCAGGAAACGGCAGTTGTCTTGCCGCCCGGGCACATTGCTCGTATTCAGCATGGCTGGGATCGCTGATTGCCGCGAAATTGGCAACCATGGCTGCCTTGCCACTGAATCTATGGCTTCTCAGGATGAACTTACGCAGCGGACTGCTGGTTGGTTCATGTATTGAACCTGCTCTTAATGGCATTGTGGCCACACCGCTGCTGACCCGCGCAACAAAAGGGTTCGCTTGCACAGTGCATGCTCTGTGGTGGGTTGGACATGAGAGGATCGTCGCAAGCGCCCGGCCATTGCCAAACGGCTATGGCCAACAGCATGCGCAAAGAGCCTTGTAGGAATGTCGCGTGATCGTGACTGTTGTCGGTGCCATGCATCGATTCATTGATTCTGTTCAAGCACATGTCTATAATTGTGGACCTTGACAAACCTGATGAAATCTGCATGTCCACGGGACCGTGTTAGATTGAAGCACCATTGCACATGCTGGACTTTAGCAGCTGGCACTTGCCGACCTTGGTTCAAATCACTGATTGAGTCCGAGAGAGTCCGGATTGCAAGGGATCTGATTGTGTGCTGAGCATTGCGGTCATACCGTCTGTGTACACTGTACACTGCCTATCTGTTGTCACCTTCTCTCCAGGAGGGTTAAATTTGAAGGCCGACTCTGGGGAGTGCTAGCCGAAGGCCAGTGAACTTCTCCGGGCTACAGGCTAGCTGGGGTTTTTGGTGCATTCATGAAAAAGAGTGTGATTCCGTGCTAGATGTTGTTGTGTACTCCGCGGTCGTCATGCGGCTAGCTCGGTGGCTACGCTATCTACTGCTACTGTCCTGCCCTTCCATGCAGGCTCTATCAGAGTTTACTTGCACTTATACACGACATGACGAACAAATCGCGCGCAAACACCCTCAAGTCAAGATGCAAACCCAAATGTCACACAGAAAGTCTGCAGCCATGGCTCAGCGACTCAGCCCGTCTTGGTCGGCATTTTTGGTACTGTCGAGTCCAGCAGGTTAGCTCCCGAAGGGAGACAGCTCTTCAGCCCGGGTCTTGACGTTCGCTGACTGCTTTTTGTCTCCTTGTTTCACGCTGCACACAAGGAGGCTGCAGAGGGCGAAGATGGCCCTGACGCCGTGGCTGCATTTATGGCGGTTGCAGTGGGAGGATGGGAGCTCGTTGTGAAATGTCAAGCCAGTCAGGTGCTGCATTCGCATGCATCCTTCTGTTGGTGACGGTTGGGGCCGCCTTCTCCACGTACTGGGCCGGTTGCGATTGATCCCCGCTGCACAGTTGCAAAGCAAGAGAGGACCAATCGCAGGTCCTTCGACCGACACCTTCCGTAAGCTATTCGCAAGAGCAGGCCGTCAGGTGCAGAGCAGAAGACGAGACGGCAGGCCTGAGTAAGAGCTCCGCCCTCTTTTTCGAAGGCTTGCCGAGCTCGCGGGAGCCGCTTACTGCTCGCAGGCCTCACTGGAGGTACCTGTCCCAGCCCGTTCCGTCGACTCACTTTTTGGGACCTGCTTTAAACTCGCACAGACATCGCAGGGTTGGAGATGTGGCGCGAAGTGCCTAGCCTCCGTCTCGAAGCCAGTGCATGCGGGACACCCAGCCGACGATGCCTGTGCAGCTACGATGTAGACATTTAGTCTTGCGAAACACCAAGACTGTTCCCGCTTACTTGACTTGTTTCCTGCCAGATTTATCATCGCGATCATGTAATCGTTCATCTAGCAGGTTGCATTCGCCAAGGACTGGGGGTGAATGCTCATGGCCTTGCTGCTGTAGGATGGGTCGAAAGCAGAAGTGACGCGGCCCTCCAGACTTGCTTCATACATTCACAGCTTGGTTCACTGCAACGCCTAACGTCGCTGAGAGCAGCAACCCGGAGGCTTACAGAAAGTCAACAAATCTATGAAGCGGGCTTTCAATGTTGAAGCAGAGACAGCGGATTCCGGATGCGAATCGGTACACATGCGACATGGCATGCTTGTGGCCGACACGTGAGAGTGTCCCTACAAACACTATTCTGTTCCCTCCATGCATCATTTGCATCGGTTCGGGCTGATGGTTGGGAAGCGCGACAAGCCTCAGCGCCTTGAGCCGTTGCATCATCAGCCTCATACAACACTCCTGGGGGATTTTTTGAACAGCAAGTTGCGCAGCACAAACGGCAAAAAAAGGCTGTAACCCTGGACGATGTGGAGCCTTGCCTTCTGTGTGAGCGAGTGTGAGCGTCGAAAGGATACCGACTCTGACTTAAAGGTGTTTAGGATTTGCTCAGAGTTGTTGGGGAACTTGAGTTTCAATGAAGGGCTCAGAGCATTGCAGCCCCTGCTCAAAAAAAGGGGTCAACCATTCTACAGCACGGATCTGGGTTTCACGGTTCGGGCTTTAGGGCCTTAGGGCAGGCTCTGCTGTTGAGGAGTGCTTGCTGGCACACAATCCAAGCCCATGCTGAAAAGGGCTTGCAGGTGATTGGTTCAAGTACTCGTAGAGGGTTGGAGACAGCAGGCTACGGGAGATGGGTTGAAAGGGCCAGGCTCCTGCAGGGCTCGCCGACTCATGTGAGACAAGCCCGACGCTTGCACCATGTCAAACGGACTCGGCCGATTCATCCTTCAGCCTTGGGCTGGCCACTGTCAAACTTGCTCCAAACAGGTGTGTCCTGGGGATTCCACGCAAGCGTTTGTGGCTCGCTTCGAGGTGACATTGGGTGTATGCCAACAATTTGGACATCCAAAATCAAGCACAGGATGATTGCATCGTCAGCTTTGAGGGGACCAAGACTTACCTCTCCATGATCCAGGCATGATGCCCACGGGTTTCGATCTGTGGGCCTCGGTCCCTGCTCTGGAAGGATCTGCGCATCGCTAAAAATCTCAGTGACTGGAAGACGGGCGGCAGCGTGGGGTTCCTCCAGCTTCCTCTCGGACTTCCTCGGGCTTCTGCTCGACGTTCCTTTTTTGTGCTGGGATGTGGCTGCGAGGTCCACACGGGCTTTCTCGCTGTCGGACACCCAGACTGTGAGCTTCGAATATGAGAGTAGCGAACGCCCCCTTGCAAGGAGTGGGAGAGCTTGCAGAGCTGCATCCAAAGTGCGCTGACAAAGACGTGTTCGAAAAGCGCAGCCTCGGGTCTCGTCGCAGCCTCGCGGAGCCTCGCGGAGCCTCGCGGAGCCTCGGAGCGCAGCGTCAGACGTTTCAGGTCATTACAGGGCATTCCCTCGGGGGGGCGATCAGCGTCCTGGCCATGGCGCCTGGCCTCGAAGAGTCGGCGCAGTGTCTGAGTCTCTGGCTTTTGCTCAGAGTCTCAGGTGGAGTTGTCGGAGAGGGGCTGGAGCGTGAAAGAAGGCTACACCTTCGGCATGCCGAGAACAGGGGATGCCACCTTTGCCGTTAACTTCGACCACTTGTCCACCTCTCAGTGTGAAGAATCTAGAGAGGGTTGCAGCAGACGTATCTGACGGAGGGGGCCGGAATCTGTTAGGTTTTTTGGCAAGTTTTTCAGGGCCACATCCCCGGTCCTCCTTTGTCCCTTCCGCAACTCCGATGGTCTCTTGGCTCGCTTCACTGAGGTGACGCATCACAGGGATCCGGTCCCACATGTCCCGCCACAGGACTTCGGCTCAGCTCGGCCCGCTCAGCTCCCAGCTTTCCAGCGGAGGACTTTGGCTTCCAGCACCTGTCCTCGGAGGCCACAGGGCCGCAGGGTAGCGGTGCGGCGAAGTGCGCATCAGACTCTCGAGGTGTTTTACGACGGAGACATTGGTGAAGGATTTCGCCACTGCCCACAGGCTCTTTCAACACAGAGCGCTTATCCAATCTGAGCTGCGCTGCTCTAGGCCGAGGACCTGAGGTGTGCTGGGAGATACTGGGATCTCCCGGTAGATCTCTTCTACATCAGCGACCACATGGACAGGGCACATGTTACTTGCATTTTGACTTGTTATCCGATGCGACACTGCTTCCCCTGCAGGACTACATGGGCCAGAATACCGGGTCCGTTGGATGTGAGGAACTGGCGGCTGCCAGCTGAATGCTCAACTTGTTTCGAATTTCCAGTAACAAGATGTAAGGAGGCACATCGAAATGGGCATGGCAGGTTGAAAGTTTAAACCCTTATACCAGTATACTTCTTGTAACCACGGCGCGAGCTCTGGATTCTTTTCTCACTCTGAGCTCCGCTGTTGGGCTGTGCTTGAGCCTAGGTTTGACCTGCGGTGAAACACTGGATTCCTGTATGTAACTGTACATGAGGGAAAATTGAACTATCTGTTACGCCCTCATCGCATACACAGCTTTGTCGTGTAATGCGATCATTGTGAAACTTTTCCTACATTCACCACGGTTCTCGCATGCTCCTGTGAGCCTTAATCTTCACTTCTCGAAAGCTTTGCAGCACTTTTAACCGTCTTTGGCTTCTTCCCTTCTTCTTCAGCTTTCCGGATGTCCTAGAAATCAATTGCGTGAAATCCACACTCTGCTGGCATGGCTTCCACTGTCCTATTGAAAACTCGGGCGCACTCACTATTTTCCACGTCGCGGCCGTTGCTGTAGTCCGCAACTCCTTTTGGTCTCGCCCATTGGCGCTTTCAGAAACTTTTGGCATTTCAGCCTTGGCTTCTTTCGTAGTGCTCGTAGTGCCTTTTGTCGTGTGCTTAGGAGCCTTTACGTGGTCTCCTGTTAGCATCTTGAAACACTTTTCACGTGGCTTTTGGCTTGCCACTTCTGCTTTGGACTTTTGTCCTCACTCTTCTCGCACTTCCTTTCTCACAGGCTTTTAGCGGTGTGAGACTCTTTCACTTTGTGAAACATTTTGCCTGGGCGGATTTCCGCCCTCACGCGGTCCTGGGCGGCTTTCCGCCCTCACTTTCTTTTGGTCTTTAAACCGCAACGTTGTTCTAGGTCAGTTCTTCTTCTCCTCGTTGCCTTTTCTCGGCTCTCTCTTGATCAAAGCTTGAGTCGCTCTTTCTCTTTTTCTTGTTGTCACTTTTCTTTTCCTTGTCCCTGTTTTCCTTGGACTTGTCGGTCTTCCTTTCTTCTTTTCCTCTGTATCGTCCTTCTTCTTTTCATCACTTGTCTTCTTTGGTTTCACTTCTTCTTTGCCCCAACTGCTCTTTGGTGCATAACCTTTGGTGTACTTATTTTCTTCTTTCATCTCCTTGATCTCGTCGGGGAATTTGTACTCGTTGCTCTTCAAGTACTCTTGGGCGTTTGCCTTGTGGTGGCAAATATGCGGGGTGTGAGTACCCCATCCCTTGTACTGGTAACTCCGAAAGTTGATGTGCGTGAAATTCAACCAGCAGAATTTACAAAATATTCTCCGCGAGTCATTGTCCTTGGCAGGTCTTGGTAAGCCTTCACAGTACTTCTTGACTGCCTTTTCCATTTCTGGGCATTCTGGAGCCTTATGCCCGTCCGTACCTTTGCAATAGAAGCAATGCAATTACTTTGTGCTCTTAAACGATTCCTTCTCAAGCCATTGCGGATTCACCTTGCTTGATGGTTCTCCTTCGGGTTCGCTTGGCTTCGTCTTGCTGTGATCCAACTTCGCTTGCGCTGCCTTATCTATCACTTCATCAGAAGCTTCTCTGAACGTTTGCTTCAACTTCTTCTTCAAATCCAACTGCTTCTCCAAAGTATTCGCTGCCTTTCTTTCTTCTTCAGAAACTTCTGTCTTGAGGTGCTTGAACTTATCTGGCAACTTCTTTGGCATTGGCTTTGCCTTGGTAGATGGCGTTGCTGGGCTGCTCGTGTCCCGCTTTCTTTTGATGCTTGCCATCAACTGAGCTAGAGCTTTTCGCTCCCTTTCTCGATCTTCCTCCGGTCTTGCATAAAGATCTAGCACTTCCGGGAACTCTTCGTTCATCGTCTTTAGCAGTCTGTCCGCCGTTTGAACAATCTTTCCGAACTTCTCCAATGCTTCTCTTGCATGCACTGTCTTTTGAACATCTGCACGCGCACTCACGACTGCTTCTTCTTTTTCTCGGAAGCTCTTCACCTTTTCCTCCATTCGTTGCTCCATCTCTTTCTTAAGCTCTTTCTCGAACCTTTCAAGGTCCTTCTTGGCTTGCTTATACTCTTGCTCAGCATTCTTCTCATCTTCTGCCATGATTAATATACTCTCAACATACTCTCCAATTTCACCATTAATTCTTGAGAGTCGGTCATTTGTTCTCAGACCGAATCCTGTCGGTAACCGAGCTACCGGTCTCCGAATGGCTTCCTGCCATGCGGTAAACTCTTTCTCCAAGCTTTGGGTCGGTAAGCTCTTCTGAACACTCTGCACGTTAGTGTCCTCCATTACCGTATCAAAGATCGACATCCTTTCAACGTCGAATTGATCTTTGAGTGATTTTCTTGCTTGTCTGTCCTCTTCGTCCGAGGAATTTACCATCTCTCGCTCTGGGTCTGGTTTATCTTCCTTGACCTCTTGCTCTTCCTTTTTCTCCTCTTCAATCTTTTCTTCTTCAAGATTTTCTTCCTCCTTTTCCTTCTTTTCTTCTGCTTCACTTGCGACTTGGTTCGCCGCTGCTACCACATTCTTCCTTCTTTCACTAGCTTCGGCTGCTAGCTCACCGAGCTAATTCAGCCGCTTGTCCATCGTCTTCCCTTGCTCAATAAGTCCAGCCTTGGTCTCTTCCGATAAGACAATCTTCTCTGAGTCCAAGACTTCAACCTTTTCCTTCCTTGCAGCCTTGAGCTCTTCAAACTCCCTTTCCAGCTCTTCCGCTGTCTTCTTGAAGCTTTCCACTGTCTCTTCTCTTTCTCTTTTCTTCTTTCCTTTTTCATTCTCGTCGTCCTCTGCTGACTCGCTTTCCTTTGACTCTTCTCCATCGGACTCTGGATCCGACGCAGCTTCACTTTCCTCCTTCTTCTTAACTTGCTCTTCTTCTTTTGGATCCTCTGCCTCTTCATCAGTCGCCTTATCTTCACGGTCTTGGTTGAGTGCCTCCACTACTTTCCAGATCGCATCTGCACTCGGTCTGTTTGCGACTTCCTCCTTTAACAATCTTCTGATGTACTCAATTGCCTTTATGCTTTTGCACTTGTCGGTAATGATCACTTTTAAATCTTCATCAGTCGTCATTGCTCTTGCTTCGTCCTCCTCTTTTTCTTCCTTTTCTTCTTTTCCGAGGACTTGCTTGAAACTCTTGAGCAAAACGGCTCTGGAAATGCATAGCAACATGATTGTACATATGCACATCGCACACATCACTACGCTTGCTCTTCCCAGTCCTTGTTCATCTTCTTCACCGACGTTTCTTGCTTCATTCAACGATATCAACACTGATGTCGTGACCGCTTGAATAATCCTTGTGATCATCCTTGCATCAAATCTTGTAACACTTCTTGATCTTAGGACTTCAGCTTCTTCTTGAACTTCTTGAGCATCTTGTGTCAAATACTCACCTGTATATCCGAGACTTAGCATGTATTTACGTATCTTCTCCCTTGTCAGGGATTTGGTCCCTAAGTCTGACGGATTATCCTTGCCTGCTATTGCCTTTATAACAAGCTTCGGAATTCTTTGGATCCATAAAAGGTCCACTTGCAAATGGCGTGCCTTTCCTAAACCTTTTCTTGAAATCAACTGCCTTGAGCTTGACGAATCACTGTATAACATCAGTCTTGGTTCTACTCTTAGGGTCTTAGGATTCTTGTCAGTAATCCTTTCAGGAATACACCTTCGCTTAAGATTGACGTCGCTGCGATTGTCTCAGCTTCGCAAGATGATAATGCCACGCTCTTTTGTCTCTTGCTTTGGAAATGAACCAGGTTTCCATTCACCATTCTCACTCCACACGAAACGCTTTGCCTTGACTCTCGGTGTGCTGCCCAATCACTGTCGCTTATCACCTCTATCAGTGCTGGCACTTTGTAGTTGTCCCTTTCGACGTTTCCTTCATTGCTTCTGTTCTTCACTTCTAGGAAACTCTTTCCAGGATAACTTCTTTGATGTACCAACGCAAGTTCAGGTGTTCCTTTCAGATACTTTCCAACGTACCTTAGCAGTTCCATGTCTGCTTCAACAGGTGATGCTAGCTTTGTCGACAGATTCTTCAGGACATACATGATATCTGGCCTCTCAGGCGCAAGATACAGTAATATCCCTACTCCTTTTCTGTACGTGTGGTGATCTTCTGCGCTTAGTGGTTCCATTCCACCTTTCTTTGCTTGAAACGCTCTTCCATTGTCTGCTGGACACGGTAGTTTCTTCGGATATGCTCCTTCTAGTTTCAACACTTCTACCAGTCCTTCAACATACTTTGAATTCATTGTGATCTCCACGTTTCCATTGTTCATCGACTTGAAACTTCTCTTCAGGAAACTCATTGATCCTTCCTCTTCATCGAGTGGTCCTTCAACCTTGATCTTCAATCCTTTGCTTCTCAAGAATTCAACCAACTTCTTGAACTCTTCTCTTGATGCATAAAGTTCCATGTCATCTACGTGACTCAAAACAATAATGCCGAATCCATCTTCATCTGGCATCCTTGAGAATAGTGCCGGGAGTCCACTGTCGCTTCTTAACCCGTACTCTTCCAGGTAGCTTTTCAACTTTTTAAACCAAGCTGCACTCCCGATTCGCTGTCCAGGTAACGTGTACCCTAGTTCATAAATTTCTCCATCGACTTCAACGATAGTCGGCTCTTCTTGCTCTACCATCAAGTAGGCGTCTCCAACATCGGTACTTCCAAGTGTATATCCTTCTGAAGATGCAAACAGGGCTGACAGTTGCTTCACTGTACTTGCTACACCGGTTGGCGAAAACAAACTTGCAATGTCGGTATCACCTAACCACTTGAACTCTCTTGCTACCAGTCTTCCTCGTCTTCTCCACTCTTTGTCCCTGTGTCTCCAGTCATACACTATCTTCGTCGATAGAAACTTGTACTTTGAGATGTCTGCCCCTTTTGGCAGTTTGTTCAGCACTTTCATCTTCTCTAATCTTTCCAACTCATGCTTCTTTGACACACTTTCAGCTTTCTCCATTTCTTCATGAGCTAACTTTGGTGGTCCACTTTCAACGTCATTTGACCATGTTGGCATGTTTTCTGGTATCTCTTCTTCACCATCTGATTCTTGCCATTCTTCTTCTTCTTCATCAAACTCGGATTCCACTTCTTCAAACTCTTCCAATTCAACTTCTTCATCATCATGATATTGTGGATCACTCAGTGGAAGTTCCTTTCTCAGGAATGGTTCTATCTTCTTCACACTTCTCACTTCAATCACTCTTCTCACTGTGCTTGATGCTTCTCCGACGGCAATAAACTTCTCTGGTCTCTCTTCAACTTCCGTCGTTCCTTCATCAATTCTCGGCCTAACCGCCTCGGGTTGCTCGCCCTTTTCCAGGTTCCTCTTGGGCGATGCTGGTGGAGGATTCTCTCCTGTAATCAACTCGTCAGATTCATCACTTCTCTCGCTTCTTCTCCTTGTATGTAACTCCTTTTCCTCGACTGCTTGAACTACTGCTTGATGATCCAACATGTCCTTCGCCTGGATCTTCATCCATGTCTTGTTCAGTCTCACTTGGCGGATCTGATGCCGCTTCTTGACTTGGGCTATAATCTTTCAACTCATCCTCCTGTTCCTGGCTTCTCTCTTTCCTTGGAACAACTTCTGGCTTGTCACCAATTGCCATTTCAATTCCACTGTGAGGTGGCAATCTCTTCGTGGATTTCCTTCCTACCAACGTATCCTGTGTGTAGTTCCACGGTGTTCCTGTAGCTTCTGCTAGCACTCCAACATCGTACAACGGTGTGCACTGTCTCATCGTTCTACACTTGATGATTCCTTGCCTTGTGCTAACCAAATTCAAGTTGCCCACTGAATCCTTTCCAACGAAGATTCCTTTTCTCCATGCTTCACCTTTCTCTTTGACTTTTGGAACTGGCTTTGCTAGAACGACACTTCCCCATGGTGCTAATGTCCCTTTGTACTCTCTTTCGAATAGCACTTCAAAAGGTGTTGATCCTTTTCTTACAACAAACCTATTCAGCAGGAATGCTGCATGTCTAGCTGACCATGGATATAGCGTACTTTCCGACGTAATCTTCACTTTCGCTTGCGATTCAACGCCGTACACTAGTGTCTTAGACAAGTTCCGAACTGTTTGAACCCATCTTTCAACTTGCAATCCTTGGTGCTCGTCTGGTGCTACATCTTGTATCTCTGTGTCTAGATTCTTCATCTTTCTTATCCCTTGCACCTTCTTTCTCAGGGATATCATTGCTGGTTCTGTATCAGTTCTCAGAATGACCTTGGAGTTCAACAGCATAAGCACTCTACAGACTTCTTCAACAACATATGCCGTTGCTTCCTTTGTTGCTACTGGAATCACATGAACGAACTTTGTTGCTTCATCAACCATCACAAGTCCAATCGTCAATGCATCTTTATTGTCCTTTGGATTCTCTTCATCTCGCGTTCCAGTGAACTTGAAATCCATTGAAACTAAAGATGCTTCATTCTTCTTCTCTGACACATCGAAGTTGTCTTCTCTTGACCTTGTTGCTTGACAGCTTTCACACCAATCAGCTTTCGGTAGGTGTGTCAATTCATGTTTTCTTCTCTCTTCTTCAGTTGGCATCTCTGGTCTCTTTTCTCCTTTCGGTTCTCTCGTGAATTCCAATTCTAATCCTTTGGAAATTTCAACCAACTCTTTCATCTTGTTTGCTGACACTGCTTGCTTCAGTCGTTGCCATAACTGAGCCTTGCTTCCTGTCTTTCCTACCTTCAGAAATTCACATACTCTCTGGTGTAAGCTCAACTCCTGCTACCACCATTGCTTCTTCCATCTTTTCTCCCAAACTTGGTAGCTGATCTTCAATTTTCTTCCACTCTTTCATTTCCTCTTCTGCTGGAGGTCCGCTAGGAAACAAACTCTCCATGGCTTCTGCTGCTTCCTTTTCAACTTGTTCAACCGTCTTCTTTGTATCACTCTTTTCTCCTACTTTCTCCATCTCCACGTCTGCTGCTTCCACTTCCTTCTCTTGTTCTTTCCGTTTCTTCTTCGGGACTGTTCTTTCATACTCACCATACTCTTCAAGTCCTAAAGACTTTCTCTCTAAGATCGTGATAATCACCGAATTCTCTTCAACTGCATCTATCACAATCTCTTCTCTGTCTTCCCACTTTTCAGCGCACTCCACAAACTCCAGTTCGCTCCATACGATGTTGTCACCATCGTACCTCGATACCAAAGTAGTTCTGAACTTGAAAGCTTTCACGTCGTCATTTGTGAGATCAAATGTTGTGTACTTGTCATAATCGATCCTTGCTGGCTTCCCATCTGACATGAAAAACCATCCTTGATGATACTTCATCTTCTCGAAGTCATCTTCCATCTGCTTGATCAATGTGAGCTTTCTCACTTGTGGTTTATCACCTTCAACCTTCACTTGAGCTCTGTAAATCTTGAGGTCCGTCACTGTTGAGTTTCTTGCAAACCTCACTGGCACTCTTGCTGAACCTTTCTTCAGGTAAGCATTGAACTGGTCTAGAGGATCAAGTCCCCATCCGACTTTCCACAACTTGCCTACTGCAAATAGTGGTTGTGTCACAGCTGAATCTCTCACCTTTATCACTCTTCCATCTGTCCTTTGGAATTCGAATGTGATGTTCGCTCTTGTCTCAGTGGTTCTTATCCTGTTGCCTTGGGCATCTTGAATAACCATTCTCAAAGCTGGGAACTCAACTGTTCCTAAGTCTTCACTGTAGTAGCATAGCGGAAGTACATGACAATCCGCGCCACTGTCCAGGACTACTTCAACGAGTTCTGAATAGCTTGAGTTAACGGTCCTCACATAGTGCCTTTGGCTTGATCTCTCTTCTGGTTCTTGATCTAATCGAACTTCTGTCTCTAACTCTTCAACACTTCCGAAAAGTCTTTCTCGCTCTTCTGCATGCTTTGCATTCTCTTCGTCCACATGCAGATCTTCATACCACTTGTGAAGTTCATCTCTTTCATAATCCTCTTCATCACTTCCATCTGTCATGCTTGACCATAACACCACTGTGTTGACTTTTACTGCTCCTGCAGCATAGTCCATCACCATCTCTTCAAACATTCCTACAAGATCAATGTAGTCTTCATCCTCTTCAAGGATCTCTTCAATCACTGGCATAGGCGTTGTCACCAACCTACGCACTTGCTCGTTTCCTTTTGCTCGTTGTGGTGCTCTTGCTTGTGGCTGTGTAGAAGAACTTGGTTGCTCTTCATACCATTCTTCTTCACCTGTCTCTTGGACATTCCGAATCTTTCCTTTTCCGCCTTTTCCTTTACCTTTTGGTGCCGACCAACACTCCGAAGAGTAATGTCCGGTCTTACCACAATTGAAACATACAGGTCCGTTTTGTCCACCTTTTCCTTTCGTGTTCTCGTAGCCTTTTCCTTCAGCCTGCCTGATACTCTTTCCACCTTTCTTTCCAAGTCCGTTTCCTTTGCCATAGCCTTTTCCTTTTCCTTTTGCTTTTCCTCTGCCACCTTTTCCTCTTCCATATCCTTTTCCTTTTCCTTTGTCTCCTTTGCCTTTTCCTCCTTTTCCTTTGTCACCTTTTCCTTTTCCATCGCCTTTACCTTTTCTCAAATGCAATCTATCAAGTTCCATCGGAATCGGTCCTTGGTAAGCCTTGCTGCTCGAGTGTGACGTTGGGTCTTGAACACTCAGCGATCCTAAGATGTTTTCAGCTGACCATGTCTGATTGCTTCTTTCATATTGCAGCAACTTTGCTCTCAACTGTTCATATGTGGTCTTATCAGTGATATCGACCATCACGTGCTGCTTGAGGTTTAGTGGAATTCCTTTTAGCAGTGTACCGATCTTCAAGTTGTCGTCGTACTTCTGTCCTGAGAGTTTTTCGTACTCTGCTGTAAGCTTCTCGTAAGTCAAGACGTAATCCATCAGCGATGCTCCTTTGCTCATGGCCGGGAATCCAACCAATGCTTGAGCCATTGCTAGACTCCTTGAACGGGACGTCGGCTCTAATTCGGCCGTCAACTTTCTCCACACTTCAAATCCGTTCATCCCGCTTACACTTCTCAACACTTTCAGAGGTCTGTTCTTCAGGTAACTGCTTAACACTGAGTAAAGCTTTGTTCCTCTGTTCACTCTTCCTGAATCACTGTCGAAGAATGAATTAGTCACCTCTGAGCTTATCACGTCCTTCTCTTCTTCCGCTGCCTTCAAGTCCTTCAGGAATTCTTGGTCCATAAACGCTAAGAAGTTCTTGAACGTAAACGACCAGTCGCTCCATTGCGACACTTCTTCTTCAATTGTTGCTGGATTGAACGCTTCTGGTGGCTTGAGAATCTTACCTCCAGTATCAAAGCTTACTGAGGCTGGCTGACTCCCCGAAGGGGCTGCTTTTGGTGATGCTTGGGCTTTCACCAGTTCATTCATTGCTGTGGTCAATTGTGCTTGTTGGGCTGCAGTGCCCTGCGCAACTCTTGCCATAGCTTCTGTAGCTTGACCTAAATTGGTCATCAGTAGCTCGAACCTTGCTTGCTGCCCTTGTTGGGGATTCATGGGCTGCTGAGGTTGTTGAGCTTGTTGTCCTTGTTGGTCCATCTTTCCAACACTTTGGCAGGTCTGTGTGTAACTGGCTCAAGGTCTTTCACTTCCACGATTTCTTTTCGACGACGCAAGGTGCTCTTGGCTTAGCCGTAACTCCGCGCTCTTCTACGGCAGGATGCTTTCGGAATTAACCTTAACTTCCTGCTTCACTTTCCAGCTCGTAGCTGGCTTCCCTGGATCTTTGCTTGATCAGCTGCTGGCCTTTGCCAACAGCTCCGCTACCATGAAAGTTTAAACCCTTATACCAGTATACTTCTTGTAACCACGGCGCGAGCTCTGGATTCTTTTCTCACTCTGAGCTCCGCTGTTGGGCTGTGCTTCAGCCTAGGTTTGACCTGCGGTGAAAATCGGTGAAACACTGGATTCCTGTATGTAGCTGTACACGAGGGAAAATTGCACTATCTGCTACAGGTGCAGCCAGTGAGGTTGCCACGGCGCCAAAATTCACAGACCGCCTCCGAAAGTAATGAGCGGAAAACAGAGAACTCCTCTGAGACTGCGACTGTGTCGACAGCCCTGCTTGTTGCGAAAGCGCACGCTCGCGCGCTCGCTGTTTCTGGACGCGCTGGATAGAGGAGGGCAGGCTTCTCGCCTGGTGTTGGTGCTCGCGCTGACGAGCGCCGTTCGGACGGGACAGGTCCCTACCTAAACATGGCCGGGCTGCTGTAAGATCTGCTTGCAGGCGGATTTGTGCGATTCGTGAGGTGCTTTGGGCTTTGGGCTCGGGCCCCTCGCCATGGCGATGCCCAGCGCGAGCTCCAATGAAGCAACTTTGCCGAACTGCGCGGGCACAAATCGTCAATCCCGCTCAACGTGTGGGCCAAGGCTTTGAAGCTCCCCATCCAGGAAGAGGAAACATGGGCGCTGCATGCACTGGAGCTGTCGCCTGGCTGTCTCTCTCGGCAGGAGCGGTTCCAGTCACCCGGCTTGAAACAGGCTCGGGGTGCTCGAGGCATGCTTGCAGCTGGTAGTGCAGGTCCGTGTCGTCACCATTTGCTTTGCAAAGGTGCCCTCGGCAGATATTGGGTTTTTGACTTTCGATGGGTTGTGATTGTGAGGTGTGGAGTTCCGACTTCCCCGATCTCTCCGAAGCCTTTGCCGTGAACCCCAGCTGTGTGCACAGCCAAGTGCAGTGCGCCTGCTGCAAACCGCAAAGCCCTGAGGCGGAGCCTGCGAGCAATGAAGGCCACGGCCAGGAGATGCGTATCAGACCTGTGCTGCAGATTTCAGAGCATCTCACGAAGGCTAACAGCTATCGGCAGCAGTTGCTGGCTCAAAGCACAGTCGGATCGGAGTTCTTCCATGGCTCCATGCTAAGAGAAGCAGAGCTCTCTGCGGATGCCCGCAGAGAACTGCTGCCATGTGCAGTTCCCGCAACAGGGCAGGCTGATGCTCCAGAAGATGCTGCGGGCTTCCTGTCCAGGAGGGGCCGCTTTAACTTTTAGCCCCTGCCCCGGCCTGCCCCTCCCTTTTCCTTTTCGAAAGTGTGTTCTGCTACCTTCGGCATCTTCCCTGTTCAGGTACACTTTCTGGTGGGTCTTCCCAAGTATTCGTGCAGCCAATCAGAGAGCCCGTCTGGCGCAGGAAGATCTGCCAAAGCTGCCGAGCATCGACCCTTGCTGTCACATGTCCGTGTGAGGCTGTCCAGAGGTGTCCATGCCTGCCTGTTTGAGCGCTGACGTGCGCCATGCTTCCTGGGATTCCTTTGCTGAGGACGACCCGGAGTTCCTCTTTTGCAAGGTAGCGAGCCTGTGGCGATCGGCCAGGGGCAAGAGTGCACGCATCCTCTGCTCAGTATGCTGGAGAATCCAGTGGCGAGCGTTTGTGCTGAATGCTGGATATTTGCATAGCATCCTTCCTTAGTAGTTAATCTCTGTTCGTAATAAGTGCTTCGCTTCGGCTGGCCATTGATGTGGGTATAGCTTCAGCTGGTGATGGTAGCGACTCCCAATTCACAGTTTCTCAAACAACCCGAGGTCTTCCTGTATTCCGTGCTGCATGGTTGGACTTTTCTCTTCTTTATGACCATCGATCCACTGATGCTCCGTGTGCTGCACCTTGCACGCAAAGAGCGCGCCAGAGCACACGGTTGTCCCCGTTGCGGTGCTTGTGGTGTAATAGCTGAGGCTGAACGCAGTGCAGGACGGGAGCAAAGAAGTTAGCTTCCCGGTGCAGCTCTGCCTGGTCGGCGCACTGAGCCTTTCAATGCTAGTACGTGTCACCTGCATGGAAGTCTGTTTCTTTGCCTCTGTTCGCGTCCAGAACAATGTCCGTTCGGTACTGGTGCATGCGATTTTTCGCAAGTCACTCTGCGTACCAGATCACGAGCTGGATGTCGGGCGCATTTCCAACCTCATGGCCACAGACGCAGACAAGATCGGCAAGTGGTCCTCGTTGCTTTTTTCCCTGTCACAGTGGTCTTGGACATTCGCTTCGTTGCCCTTTCTCGTCTACTTCCTCTACAAGCTGGTCAGGGCTTCGGTGATGTCAACCAACGAGTATCTATACTATATATAGTCTAGAGCCAATACCTAGCCATTGCAGACTCTGCGTCACCCTTCTTGATAGGATCGGAGTCGGAAGGCTCTTTCCATGTCATGTCTTTGGTGGATGGGTTATTCGAGGAAGGGCTTCAGTTCAGGTCAGGCAAGCTATACAAGACCGCTTGGTTGTTTTGTGAGACGCTGGAGGTGGGCTCTGCTGCGTTCATTGGCACAGCGATGGTGGTGCTGGGGGCCGCCATCTCGCGTGGCCTGGGGAGATGTCTGCAATCCTGGACAAAGGCCACCAGTCGAAAAGTCGAGGGGCGGGATAATGCAGTACTTATCAGGCAGTGTCCGTTTTGGTGTTTGCAGGTGGTCCAAGAGTGTCGTGATCACCGTGCCAGCTTGATGAGCGAGATGGTTCGGGGAATCCGGACGGTGAAGCTCCAGGTCTGGGAGCCTGTATGGCAGTCCCGTTTATCTGCGGCGAGGAACGAGGAGATGAAGGCTTCTAGCCAAAAGAGATAACCTGTTGCTGCGAGTGTCTTTGCTCGGCCCTTTGCCGAGGCAATTGTTCGAGTTCGCATCCTGGGAGCCTTCAACACGCTGGTTGGCTCTGTATTGAGTGTTATGGTGCCAGTGAGCATCTTCGCCTGGTACACTGTTGTGAGCGGCGAGAGGTTGGATGCTGCCGCTTGGCTCTCTCGTTGCTTCACTCATAGAGTTGACAGAGTCGCGTTGGTTTTCGTTAGGCGACAGCGTTCACAACACTGGCTTGGATCTCCACGCTACAATGGTCCGTTCAGGCTTTGCCAGGTATTTACCGCGCAGTGGCCAATTTGAAGCCGAGCTTCGATCGCATCGACCGCTTCCTGACCGCTCCCATTACCACCCAGACCCAGGCCGTGGACGAAGTGAATGGTGCGGCATCTGCACCGTGGCACGATGAGCCCTGGCTGAGCGCAAGCTCTTTCCGAGGCCTTGCAGCTTGCACCGGCATTGCCGTGGACGTCCAGAATGCGGCTTTTGGCTACAGACACTGGGGTGCGAATGCGACCAGCTTGGAGGAAACTTGCATTTTGGAGCAGGTGAACTTCCAGATTCCGAAGGGCAGCTTTGTAATGATTGCTGGGCCAGTCGGCAGCGGGAAGAGCACTCTGTTGGCTTCGTTGGCATGCTCACGGCCTCCTCTTCGTGGCAAATGTCACGTGAGTGGGCACAGGGCCTTCGTTTCGCAGAAACCTTTCCTCTTGAACGGCACGGTGAAAGAGAATGTCCTCTTCGGACTCCCGCTGGATGAAGACAAATACGCATCGGCGCTGCGCATGGCAGCACTTGTAGACGATTTAAGCAGCCTCTCAAACGGTGATGCGACCCCGGTTGGTGAAAGCGGAGTGCCCGCCTCGCAGCAAGTCTGTTGTTGAGCCCGTCTTATAGTCTGCGCACTCATTGTGAGGCTGATGTTTGCTTTGGATTAGTAGTAGTAGTAGCAGTAGTAGTAGTAGTAGTAGTCGTCGTCGTCGTCGTCGTAGTCGTAGTCGTAGTAGTAGTAGGAGGAGTAGGAGGAGCAGTAGTAGTAGTAGTAGTAGTAGTAGTAGTAGTAGTGGTAGTAGTAGTAGTAGTACGTAGTAGTAGTAGTAGTAGTAGTAGTAGCTAACGCATCCTTAACTGTCGTGCGTCTTCGTGCATTTCTGAGGATTCGGACTTGTCTTGGGGAGGGTGGGGTGGGGTGGGGGGGGTTAATAACGTCCGTGCTGCGTGAGCGTGGGCCAAAGCCTCCTGTGCGCAGTTGTGCAGCCGCCTCTCCGCAGTTGTGCTGGCTCCATATGGTAGTTCAACTTCGATGAATTTCACAAATCTGACGAGGTTGATCCGATGCAGTTCCCTGCGATAGGCACATCTTCGGATGCAGCTGTCGCGACAAAAATTCACCAATCCTCCTCAATCAATACGAACTCCCAATGGTTTTTTCAGATGAATCTCTCAAATCTGACGAAGTTCATCCGATGCGTTTTCCTGCGATAGGCACATCTCACGAAGATGATCAAATGCAGCTTTCGCGAAGATATTCACAAATCCGCGACGATTCCCAATGTTTGAATAATGCGACGAATATGTCTTTTTCATTGATCTCTCTTTGCTGCCACATCCGCGGTTGAAAAGGTCATTGCTTACTCATAGTCGAAAAACACAAACTTTGGGGTAAACGGCAAAATCGCATTTTTGAGTGTTGACATCACGAAAACCTCGTCGTGCGCGGTGTTTTCGACCTTTCAACCACGCGAAAAACATGACCCAGAAAAGTAAGACGCCGAATCTCGCAAAGTGCCACGCCTGCCATGGTTTCCACAAAACTAGCTCTGAAAACAGCATGTTGTTTAAGACCTCGTTTTCAGTCTTAAAAAGCGCTCCCGCTGTGGCGAAACGCGTATTTGCACAAAAAACCGGGCGACGGATTCCGACACTTGCGGTAGTCGTAGAAGTAGTAGCAGTAGTAGTAGTAGTAGTAGTAATTAATAGTAGTAGTAGTAGTAGTAGTAGTAGTAGTAGTAGTAGTAGTAGTAGTAGTAGTAGCAGTGGCAGTGGCAGTAGCAGTAGCAGTAGCAGTAGCAGTAGCAGTAGCAGTGGCCGTAGTAGTAGTAGTAGTAGCGGCAGGAGTAGTAGTAGTAGTAGTAGTATACCAGTCGTAGCAGTTGTAGCAGTAGTAGCAGAAGAAGTAGAAGTAGCAGCAGTAGCAGCAGCACCAGCAGCAGTAGCAGTAGTAGTAGTAGGTAGTGGTAGTAGTAGTAGTAGTAGTAGTAGTAGTAGTACGAGCAGTAGTAGTAGTAGTAGTAGTAGTAGTAGTAGTAGTAGCAGGCTCCATTCACTTCGTTTGCCGCGCACATGGCGCGGCAAACGGGTTTGCATTGGTGTGTTTCATTGCAACATGCAGAGTGCGATTGTGCGAAAACTGTGTTTTCGCTTGGGTTTTGAGTACATTCTGGAGCTGTGCACGAAAGTGCATGCAAGTTTGGACGCTTCATTTGCATTCGAGGACAGGGCGATGTGGGCGTCCTTTCTTTTGAGTTTTTGCTGTTCCGTTCTCTGGCAAATGCGTCTTTTTGCGGCGGCAGCAGCCGCGACGTGTCTTGGAACGCTATGTTCGGGCGCAAGCGTGTCTGCCACATCATCTGCGTAGACGCAGAAGGTTCGCAAGACTGCTTCGAAACTCGGTGCATTTTGCGCAAACATAGAGCTCAAGGCATCTATGTGCGCACCGGTCTCCTGACGACTGCACCTTCCGAGTTTGTTTCCCCTTCGAAGGCTGAGTTTGACAAGGCTTGTGTCTCGCACAGGTTATCGCCCCAAACGACTGCTACAGTGCGCTTGCCAATCTTTGATCGGGCCAAACACTTCAAGTGCTTTAAGGCCTTCGGCGGCAGACTGGACTTCTGCAATCTGCACGCCGGGGTGTACTCCGATCTGGAATGGCATGCCGTGGCACTCGCAACCCCTAGCTTGGACCAAGCAGGGCCTAAGCCCTTGCACTGGTCCGGGTTTTTCCAAGGTTTCTCAAAGGCAGCTCAAAGGTTTCTGAGCGGTTCCTCAAAGACTTCTCAGAGCCTTCTCAAAGGTTTCTCACAGACTTCTCAAAGGTTGCTCAACGCTTCCAAACATGTGGGAGTGCATACCCCAGAACCGAAAGGCATGGCTGCACTGGAGCTCTCTCAACCCCAGAAGCCGAGCCAGGCTGCCAAAAGAGACCGTCAAGCTCTAAACTCATGTGTGGATGATGTGAGTATCGGAGCGTAAACGATGAGCATGCCGTGCTGATGAAGAGGATGACGGTGATGGTGACCAAGTGGACGTCATTAAGCCCCCCCCCCCGTGGCTGAGCAAAACCGGGTCTATTTCGAAGCTCCCGCTGTGGGTTTTTACCAGTCGCCTCGTGCTTGGAAACTTTGTGCGATTGGACTCCGAAAAAACAACCAAGCCTACACGATGAGCTCGCTAGTCTTTACAAGGGCTCCCATATGAAGAAAGCTGCCAAACCATGGAAGACTGCGTAGTCCCGCACACACCGACGTAACAAATAGTTTGGAAAGTAGCCGCCTATTGAAAATGGATAGACCCATATCGGATACATGTCTATCCCTACTGGCCTACCCATCAGGCCATGGACATTTATCGACAGGGGAGGAAAGATACGGAAGTATGATTTGTAGATGAAAAGCGTTGGTTTGGGTCTCGGGGTTAAGAGCTCACAGGAACAGCCTGACAGCAACGGCGCACGTTCTTAGGCAACGTTGTTTTGCATAGTCGCTGGTATTGAATGCAGTGAGACTATAGTGAAGATGGAGATCATCCGCCACCAGTGAGCTGGCTTGAGGTATCGCCAGCAGCACGACCATGCCGACAACATGTCCTAAGCTGTGCTTGAGAACCTTCTTTTGTTATGTTTTACGGAACGATAACATTAAACCCCAAAGTTAACATCAGATGTCGAGCAAGGATTTGCCACGTGCCCCCGGGTGGTCTCACCACTTCACGCTCCCCGTGGAAGGCACGAGTGAACAAAAAACACTGCAAAAACCAAAAATTCTTAAACATCTGGCATCAGGGCTGCTCGTTTATACCGTAGCGCTTAAAGCCTAAACCATTAAAGTATGAACTGTAAACACCGCAGCATACACTACTAAACCACAATTTTGTTCACCCGTGCCCCTGGGTGGTCTCACCACTTCACCCTCCCTGTAAAAGGCACGAGTGAACAAAAAACAACGGAAAAGCACCTGGCTTCAGGACCGCCCGTTTCAAGCCTATAAACCATTAAAGCCTGAACCATAAACACCGTAGCATACACTACTAAACCACAATTTTGTTCACCCGTGCCCCCGGGTGGTCTCACCACTTCACCCTCCCTGTAGAAGGCACGAGTGAACAAAAAGCAGCGGAAAAAGCAGAAACTCGATGGCTGCTCGGATCTAGTTGTTGATATGGCAAGAGTTATATACAAACTCGAAATTCTAGCCTAGCTTGAGCGCACGGTTGGTGGAGTTGTTGTAAACGAAGACAAGGGTCTGGTGCACATAAGTTGCCAGCAGTCCATCGCTTCGACGCGCAGTGTGTGGAGCAAAAACTAGCCGACATGCATGGTAAACAGCATGCAGCTACGTGAGCCAAGTTTCCGAGCACAAGCACGCGCTGGGGTTTTGCTTTGGGCAAGAGTCAACAGTCGACATCAACGACTGCAAAAACAGTGCTCGGTCCGATAGTGATACTCGACAACGATGTATTCTTGCACACTCGCGTTCAGCTGCAGGCACGCTCGCAACAGATGTTTTACTAGCAAAACACTTGGCGAGTGGTTTGCGCAAAGGGGAATGGCTCATGTCCTCTAGGTCGTATGCAAGACACAGCTTTGAGATATTGCGGCAGGTTCTTGAGTCACAAAGTTGCGTTTGAGACAGGGCACGGAACGAAGATTATACGGACAAGCGGCTCCGCACAGAAAATGGGCTAGGGCCACAAAGCGGTGACTCGCCCTACGTACATGGCTGACCATAACATCGTGCTCATAGTGTTATTGCGACACCTACGAATTGGACAAGGCATCGATGTCCGTTCGCGTTGAGAACCGAAAACTATGTCAGGAACTAATACCTTCCGTATTGTTCAGACTTCTACAGCTTACAGCAGACACGGACTCACAATGGAAACTAAACCAGGATCACAAGCTCCGGCGGTTCGAGCTCGGAGGCAAGCTTTACCACAGCAGCACTTCGTCAGCAGTCGAACATGTAAGTTATGTAAAAGCACGCAGGATCTCCAAAGTCTACATGACTGATAGTCGATCCAACGCTGTAGCAGCGCATCTTGGCCAAAGGTATTCTCGTGCATTACACACTCTAGTGTTTGTTATATCTCCACGCGCACGACTGTCGCCTCGGCTGAAGTTTGACTGCACGGCTATGAAAAGAACTATGACCGGAATGGTTTAGGATTGTTGGAAGAGCACATGGACTGCCTGTTTTCAGCACTGCCGAACATGATGAATAACCAGATCGAAGTGCTCCACTGAGCCTGTGCAGTGTAAGCAGTGTGAATGTAATGGAAATTTTCGAAATCTTACATACTTCTTCTGTCAACTGCTTGACAAATTCATCATGCAGTCGCTGCTGCACGGCTTTTGTGGCGACCTGGCCGTATTAACGGAGGAGCCAGGACGCGAAGTGAGAACGGATGACGCCTAGTTCGCTGCCGCTTTGGCGGCGGAGGAATTGCGGAGCTAGGCCTTTTAAATGATTTGGAAAACAGCTTCGGGGCTGCTTTGACTGCTGCTCGGGTAGCTCTGCGTTGCTCTGCACCAGCCAGCAGCGTTCTTTTGGGCGCACGTTTGTCCTGCATAAGCTCCCGACACCAAGCCTTCCAGGATTTGGAATCC